GAACTGTCTCAAGTGGAACAACTCTCGATCCCTCGTTGGCTGGGGTGTAGGAAGGAATCTCAGGTGGAAATCCATGGCTTCTCTGATGCGTCTCTACTAGCGATGTCTGCGGTGGTTTATTTGAAGGTAACGAGTGCGGATGGTGTCAGCATCTCTTTAGCTATTGCTAAAACCAAGGTAGCTCCTCTCAAGAAGCTCACCATCCCGCGTCTCGAGCTCAACGCCGCAGTCATCCTAGCTAAGCTCACAAGGTATGTTATGGATCAGCTCAACCTTGGTACTGTCATGGTACATTTATGGACGGACTCTGCTGTTGCTCTTGCGTGGATTTGTGCTCATCCTTCCAGATGGAAGGAATATGTCCACAATAGAGTAACAGTCATTCAGGAACTCGTACAGGAAGCCAATTGGAGGTACGTCAGCGGAAAGGAGAATCCTGCTGACTGCGCGTCTCGAGGCATTTCAGTAGCTCAGCTCAATGCCCATCATTTGTGGTGGACGGGTCCAAAATGGCTACAACAGGATTCATCTCAGTGGCCAAAACGGAGAGCAACGTTGGACCCGTCAACAGATCTCGAGGAGAAGCCTGGGGTGACATTAACTGCTTCTCTCGCAAGGTCAAGTCTCTGGGATCTCTGCTCTCGATACTCATCTCTCTACAAATTGCTGCGGATCACAGCAATTTGTCAAACAGTTGCTGGGAACATGATGCGGAAATTGGACAGGAAGAAGGGCGTCATTGTTCCGGCACTGTTTAGCCCGGAAAGTATCGAAGCAGCTCGGCTTTATTGGGTCAAGGCGACTCAAGCCTATCATCTCCAAGCCGAGTGTGACATTATCTCTCACGGATTCCAGTTGAAGAAGTCTCATCCGTTGACCAAACTCACTGCGTTCATTGATCAACAAGGAGTTCTCAGAGTGGGCGGTCGTCTGAAGTTCTCAACTCTAGGAGCAGAGAGTAGACATCAGGCGATAATACCTCAAGGATCAGTGCTCGCAGAGCTTCTCATCAGGGACTCTCATCAGCGTACGCTGCATGGCGGAACTCAGCTCACGTTGACGCATCTCAGGAGGTCTTACTGGATTATTGGTGGTCGTCTACCAGTAAGATCCTTCATCCTCAAATGCGTTGAATGCGCGCGTCATCGTGGGATTAGAGCGCAGCAGCTGATAGGGCAGCTTCCGATGGCACGTCTTGTATCGGATCGAGCCTTCTCCAACACTGGTGTGGATTATGCCGGACCAGTGTCTCTCAAGACGTGGAAAGGGCGTGGTCACAAGACCCAGAAGGGTTGGTTAGTGATCTTCGTGTGCATGGCCACGTCCGCTCTCCATCTGGAAGCTGTCACGGACTACTCTACTGACGGCTTTATCGCAGCTTATAGAAGGTTCGTGAGTCGTCG